CCCTCTCTCTGACCCTCCCCTGCTCACGCTGTCTCTCTCTCTCTCTCTCTCTCCTAGAAATAAATAAAACATTAAAAAAAAAAAAAAAAGAAACCTTTTGCTGTGCCAGCCTCAAGTTATCTGTCATCGGGCTGCGGGAATAAGGAAATTCAATGTTACCTGCCATTTCCTTCTGCCTTGGTTTCCCACATTGCCCCGGACTCCCCCACCAGCCTCATGAAAAGGATTTTTTTCTCTATCTCTTTAATTTCGTACTTCACCAAAGAAAATAAAAGCTGTAGTGTAGAGAGCTAGCCTAAAAAGCTGGTTTGCGTTGGGACCATGCACGCCTACCCCACTCTCTCAGCCTGGACCCCACTGGGAATTGTAAGTGGTCGCCAAATGTTTCCTGTAAGATGCTAACTGGGGATGGCAAAGTCTGCATGGTGACCCAGCTTCAAGGGGAGGGGGCACCCTCAGGGGCGCACGCCTGGGAGAACAGGGCAGCCCTGTGGGCAGGTGCCACGTTTCCCAGGGGCCACAGGCAGGTAGGCAGAGCCACCCCCCCACCCCCCAGCATCTATCCATTTACCGCAAGCAAGCCCCAGGCTTTGAGCTTATCGCGTATCGACAGGAAATCAGGAGACAAGAGCTAGGGGAAAGGATCGTGTTTCAAGGACTACCGCTCTTCCTCAGAAAATGGAAGGAATCCGGTGATTGCATCCAGGTAGGAAGAAACAGCAAAGTAAATCACTCGAAGGCAGAGAACACCCAACAAACCTGCAGACTGGAAGCCCAAAGGCTGTCCTCCAAGGCAGAAGGACTTGATCGCCTAGAGGGTGATGCCCCCCGGCAAGTGCCCTCACCGCCCTCACCACAGTCGGCCCTCACTGCCTCCTGGTGTGTAAGAGCGACGAGGGGCCGTAAGTGCCGCCGAGGGCACAGCACACGTGGGCTGTTTGTGGTGTTCCTCAGGCTCTCCTCGCTGCCCAAGAACAAAGGCAAGGAAACCAATGGTAATTGATAGCGATCAGTCTCCCACGGTTTACAAATGTCTTGGTAAATTACAAGAAAAAGGCAATCGTATCCACAGCCTCATCTCCAGAAATCTACAGACTCAGTTCCCTGGATACCACCCTCCCTTCCACAGTGATGTGGGAAACCAAGGCAGAAGGAAGGGCAGGTAACATTGAATTTCCTTATACCCCGCAGCCCGTGGACAGATGCTTGAGGCTGGCAGAGCAAAAGGCTTCTCAGGAGCTCCCTACCGTCTTCCTGTTAATGCTTTGCCAGAGAGCAAAGCTAGGATCCAGTCACCTGTGAGTCTTTACATACGAAAGTCTCCTTGGAGACTTCCTTTTGACTTTACCCCCCCCAAGTCCCCTCTCTATAACCAGTTACAGTCGCCCCCACAACCCCAGGGCAGCTCTTCCTGCCCACAGCTCCTGTCCCCCGGATTTTTTAAAAAATGTTTTTATTTATTTTTGAGAGAGAGAGAGAGAGAGAGACAGCATGAGCAGGGGAGGGTCAGAGAGAGAGGGAGACACAGAATCCGAACACAGGCTCCAGGCTCTGAGCTGGCAGTCAGCACAGAGCCCGACGTGGGGCTCTAACCCACGAACCGTGAGATCATGACCTGAGTTGAAGTCTGACGCTCAGCCGACTGAGCCACCCAGGCACCCCTCCCCTGGATTTAATAAAATCACCTCTTTGTACCAAAGACGTCTTCAAGAATTCTTTCTTGGACATCAGCTCCGAACCCCTCAAACCCCACCATCACCCCAAAACCTCATTGACTGTTTCGTAATATTAGGTTTTCCTTTATTTAAAAAAATTTGTTTAATGTTTATTTATTTTTGAGAGAGAGAGAGCTGGAGAGAGTGAGGGAAGTGCAGAGTGAGAGACACAGAATCCGAAGCAGGCTCCAGGCTCTGAGCTGTCAGCACAGAGCCCGATGCGGGGCTCGAACCACGGAGAGATAGTGACCTGATCCAAAGCCGGACGCTCAACCGACAGCCACCCAGGCACCCTGTAATGTTAGGTTTTCTTATCTGACATCTCTTCTTTTCTACCATCAATGCCACAAGGGAGGGGACAGCATACCCCTTCCCGGCTGGACCCCTAGCGGCGTGCACAGGTAAACATGGGACCGACCCTTAGCACCGGAGGACTCTATTTTGGAGTTCACAGCACCTTCTCCAAAGAGGGGCCACGCAGAGGGGCTGAATGGGGTCCAGATCAGCTGACGAGTCAGGGCCAATCTGTCTTCATGGCCACAGGGCTTCTCCAAAGGGCTCTTTGCTACAGAAGGTGACAGAGTTCTGTATGTTCGGGATGGGGAACCCTCGCTAGACACGGCTTCATAATAGGAAACATTTCTTTACGAAGCACCTAGGAGGTTCCTCAAAAAGTTAACAGAACTACTGTGTGACTCAGCAAATCCGCTGTGAGGTAAATACCCCGGAAAACCAGAAACAGACGTCCGCACACAAACCTGCACATGCAGGTCTGCAGCAGCGCTCGTTACTCGTAACGGCCAAAAGGCAGAAGCGACTCAAACGTCCACCCCCAGACCACGGGACAGATGAAAGGTGGAAGACAGCCACACCGTGGGACTTTCAGCCGCTAAAAAGGGATGACGCGTGGATTCACGCCACGGCACGGACGAACCTCAAAACCAGGACACTGAGCCCAAGAAGCCAGCCACGGAAGGCCACGGATCATGTAAGGGCATTTACGTGAAATATCCAACTCCGGAGAAACAGAAGGCAAACCGGAGGCTTCCAGGTAGCAGGAAGAGACAAAGGGTGTGGACTTCATGTTGGGCCGATGCAGACGTTTCAGAATTAGCTAGGGGCGACGGCTGTGCCTCACCGCGGATGTGCCACACGTCGCTGCATCAGACACCTTCACGGTCGATGAATTGTAGCTTAGAAAACAGAAGCCACCAAGAAATGTTGGCTTCCCAGGCTGGGCTGGGTTTGGTTCCCAAGCTGTCCAAGGCCCCAGATACAACAGGAGTCGATCGATGGTAAATAAGCAACACAGTCTCGGAAGGACAGCCGCGGCCGACCAGAGGCTCCCAGACGTCGCCCTTGCGCTCAGCGTGTACCGCGACCCCCCGCCCATGCGCACACGCACAACCAAACACACGTTTCGCAAACAATGCCGTGTCTGTGAGGACACCGTGGCACCGTACGTGCCCCTACGCCGATGCTGGTGGTCTGGGAAAGGGCACGAGGTCACTCGCCCCCCCCCCCCCGCCCGCACCACTGCACGGTACTTCTGCACAATGGAATACTATCCAGCACTCGGCACTCGAAGCCACTGAGCTCTCAAGCCATGGGGAGACGGGGGAGGGGGGAACCTTACATGCGTAATGCTAAGCGAAAGAGGCCAATGTGGAAAGGCTCCAGACCGGACAGCTCCCTCTCCCAGACATTCTGGAAAAGGCTGAACTATGGAGACGATAGATGGATTAGTGGCTGCCAGGGGTTAACGGGGAGGGAGGGATGAACAGACAGAACACAGGGGTTTTAGGGCAGCGCAGACCACTCAGTACGAGGCTCTGATGGTGGACACCCATCATCACACATTTGTCCAAACCCGTAAGTTCATCAGTGCTAACAAATGTGCCCCCTGCAGGGGGTGGGGGTGGGGGTAGGCTGTGCGTGTGTAAGGCCGGGGGGAGGGGGGCATATGAGAAACCTCTCTTTTCCGCTCACTTTTGCTGTGAACCTAAAACTGATCTCAAGTAGCTTATTTAAAAGGGAAACAAAGGGTGCCCGGGGGGCTCAGTCGGTTAAGCGTCTGACTTTGGCTCAGGTCGTGATCTCACGGTTCGTAGGTTTGAGCCCCGTGTCGGGCTCTATGCTGACAGCCAGCTCAGAGCCTGGACCCTGTTTCAGATTCTGTACCTCCCTCTCTCTCTCTGCCTCTCCCCTGCTTGCGCGTGAACTCTCTCTCTCAAAAATAAACATTACAAAAAAAGTTTCAGTTTTCCAGCATGAGGTGGGGATGAAGTATTCTGGTTGATATTCTAACTGGTGGAGATTTGAAATTATAAAGTATATGGACCATCAATTTTAACAAACCATACTGAAAATGATTAAAACGTTTTCAATATGCAGAAGACATTTCATTGGCATACATTCTTTAGGATCATCAAAATGTACATAAACCACAATACACTGAGACTTCTAAACCGAATAAGCAAGAATGTGGTCAGCCTCAACCTTCACATATAATAGACATATATCAGAAATATGTTCTTCTAGGGGTGCCTGGGTGGCTCAGTCGATTGAGCGTCTGACGTCGGCTCAGGTCATGATCTCACGGTTCATGGGTTCGAGCCCCGCATCGGGCTCTGTGCTGACAGCTCAGAGCCTGGAGCCTGTTTCAGATTCTGTACCTCCCTCTCTCTCTGACCCTCCCCTGCTCACGTTCTCTCTCTCTCTCAGAAATAAAAACATAGGGGCGCCTGGGTGGCTTAGTCGGTTAAGCGTCCGACTTTTGCTTAGGTCATGATCTCGCGGTTCGTGTGTTCGAGCCCCTCATCGGGCTCTGTGCTGACTGCCAGCTCTGAGCTTGGAGCCTGTTTCAGTCTGTGACTCCCTCTCACTCTGACCCTCCCCTGCTCACGCTGTCTCTCTCTCTCTCTCTCCTAGAAATAAATAAAACATTAAAAATTTTTAAAAAAAGAAAAACATAAAAAAATTTTTGAAAAAAAGGGAAGTAAAGGTACTTAAGCGCTTGAACATTTTCCTAACACTGAAGAGAATAGTCCCAAAAGTTAGTTAAATGCACTAGACGATTTACTTGGCTATGAGCTGGGGTTTTCTCTGTGTGTGTGTGTGTGTGTGTGTGTGTGTTTCAATCTGACCCTCGGAACCTTGTTTCTTTAAAATTCTTAGGCTGGAAACACACACACACACACACACACACAACAGGTCTCTCTTTCATCGCCTTGCTCGATCTTAAATTCTCTCACGCATCTATCAAAAACAGGCGACTCTTTATAAACAGTTGAATCATAAATGCAGGAGATAACTTTAATAGGATCCAAAATGCAAATTGGAATTTTTAAAGTAAAATTCCAACGTCTACATTGACTTCTAATAGAGAGAGATCTTTGAGCCCAGGAAGTCAGAGAAGGATTTTAACATCCTGAACACGGGAGAGGCTGCTGCCGGGGAGAAAATGGAAGCCAGACCGTGCGTGAGGGTACGAAGCCATGCTCGTGAATAGTTCAGTGCCCAAAAGAAGTGCTCTCAGTAGCAGTTGGGAAGCCAGTTACCCCGGAGAAAACATTTTCACGGGTAGCTCTGTGGTCAGCCAGGAACTGGTCACGTGGCTCCAGCTGGCTTAAATAGGTGCGGTCGCTGAATGCTTTTTTGTTAACAGGATGCCAACCAACACTGTACAAGCCACCTCTCTCTCCTGGATGGACTAACGGTATATGAGGCAGACGGCCATTCGGCGTTTGTTATTGGCAAAATTCTCGAGGTCCAAGCAGACATAAAGCTCTTTCACTCGGTGAATGTGATTCAGTGTTGGCGACACACTTGACGCCAACGTCCCCGACGAACACTGGTGACACAAAAGAGCCTTTCATTCTGTAAACATGTATGAGTGAGCCCGCACTCGGAGCAACACAAAGGAATGACCGATGAATGCGTCCCACTCCAAGCATCTGATGGCATTCTCAGTTCTGCAGAGGATATGTTTTATGGTCCTTGATACAGGGCTCTTGCTTTGTAGACCCTGCATATGTAATTAACAACAGCTTGAGACCAGTTACATGCTGCCATGGGATCTTAGGGCCAGTTATATACGACCATTGGAGCTTGGGGCCAGTTATATAAAACCACAGGATCTTGGGGCCAGTTATATACCGCCATCAGATTTGGAGACCAGTTATATACCGCCACAGGAGCTTGGGGCCAGTTATATACCACCATATGCACAGCCTCCATCTTGCCCAATGAGAACACGTGATCGAGATCGGGTGAGTGGCGATTTTTCAGGACTGTTTAAATGTAAGCCACACCAAGATGCCATTATCTTCCTGTGCCTTCGGAATTGAAGCTTCTTCACCAGGTAGGACAGGGTAGAGGACATTCATATTCCTGGCGAGTTACCATGCCCCACCCCCTCTTCCTAGCATCTCACAACCGCCCTGATCAATGAACAAAGCCTGCGTTGTTTGGAGAATGAATGAGGACAGCTTTCTTCTGTGCATTTCATTAAAACCTGAAAGCTACGGTTTGCTGCCAGGGAGGGTGCCCTAATGAGTTCCAACAGCCTGACATTCAAATCTGAGTCATCATCAACGCGCCCAGCTCCGCAGTGGTCGTCCTGACGTCCTGACGTCGAGGACCATTCAGCAAGCCTGACGTTTTTGTCGTGAAGGATTTTTCTACCGTTGGGGGCCAAATAAAGGTTCTTTGTAGCAATGGAAACACAACACAAGACCTTTCTTTACACTGCTAAGGATTGATAAATAGTTCACCGAGTGAACCAAAGACTTTTTATTTTGTAAAAGCAGATAACACCAAAGTACTATGTGGCATTCATAGTCATTGCAAAAATGAGGGCTTTCAAAACATCCAAGGCGTAAGCTTAATCAATGGTTACAACTAGGATTTTCAGCCAATATACAGATTTTTGTTCAAGGTCTAGGCTTGATCTCTACCTATTATTCACACGCATTCCCTTCGCCTATTTATTATCAAAATGGGGACTCCTGACAGCCGGGCCCGGCTTTATCTTGATTTTGCAGGTGACACAGCAGTGAACCCAGAACTCTGGCTTGCCAACGGAGTCCCAGAAATCAGGTCTTCTGATGCCCTGCAACAAGCTGCAGCTCTCAAACATAAAATCAGAATTCAGACCCCCTGTGACAGACAGTCAGGGCTCCACAGCTCTCCGCCACAAGGAAAGCTGGGTTCTAGCCCCACTTGGGTTCCCTCTTCAAGAGCTCCGCTGTAGAGCTTTTTAAGAACCACACTAAACCCAAGTGGAGGAAGTGGATAAAATTATCCACCACTTTTTCCATTAAGGACAAAAAAAAAAAAAAAAAGAAAGAGAGAAAGTGCACTGGCAAATGGGAACATGGTGACGGCCGTATGGTTATGAAAACTGGTTCTAGAAATCCCTCCTTTCAAAATTAGCTCCCAAGGTGGTCCCGAGACCAAATGGAGGTCCCAAAAGCGGTTAATACAAACAATTCTTCTACAAAAGCCCCTCATGGAATGTGGCTGAGGGAAAGCAGACTCCTGGGGAAGGGCCGGCCCTACATTTTTGGCACACGTTTCTGGCCTCACGGATATGTGTGTGGCTGGCAGGTGTGAGTACCTCCTCCTGGCACTTAAGGACGAATGAGCACATTAAAGTGAATTGGTGTGCTCATGAAAAGCCCGCAATTACAGACTCTGAGAGCCAAGCCCTTCAGTTTGTAAGGCAAGATTTTTTTTGTCGCCGGAAGTGGGGGACAGGTGAACCTGAAGGCAGGCACTATAAGGCTGAGTCAGCCGTACTCGGGCCAGACAGGGCTCAAAAATAAGGCAATGTGTGGCTTCTCAGTGGGAGACCGTCCCCCAGAAAGGCCCACGAGGCAAGAAAAGCAGCTGGCCAATGGCAAATCACCAGAAGATATTTGGACGGGGCCACGGTCACAGTTAGATGGGGTGACCTGGGGTCACGGAAGGCGGGAGACCCTTGGACCAGCACTCAAGGGGAATGTCTCTTGCGTGTCCTGCGCACAACTCCGAGCAGCAACCTCTGGGGTTCTGGAGGTGTGTGACATTTGCGAGACGTTTTCCCCCCAAAAGAAGACACGGAGGTGAAACCCCTGGAGGGAGGAGGCCCCTGGAGGTGGCACCCCCACCAGGGGCAGGACCGGGTCCGAGTCGGCGGAGAGCACTTCCTGCAGCGCGCGGCTCCCTCCGGGTCTGGCCGAGTCCTACAAGCGCTTGTAGGTGCCCAGGAGAGCTTTGCAGTTGGGGCAGTAGTGATCCACGTCCTGCAAGGCGTCCACGCAGAAGGGGATGAAGCAGCAGCCCGCTACGCACCTGGAGAACAGGAACGCGACATGTCACCCTCCGAAACTCTGGACGTGGTGGGGGCTTCGGATGTCCCCGCCCCCCAGAACCTACGGCTGTCGCCTTACTTGGAACAGGGCTCTCTGCAACTGTCATGAATAATCTCAAGATGGGAACACCCTGCATCAAACAGGCTCCCTGACCTCAATGACTCCTGTCCTTGCACGAGGAGAGAGAGAGACACAGAAGCACAGGGAGGGACAAAGACGCCTCTGGGCAGTCCTGGAGCGGAGGGCCACCTGGCAAGGCAGGACTGTGCCCTCCGGGCCTTTGGAGGGAGCCCCGACACTTGATTTTGAACCTCTGGTCTCCAAAATCGCTAGAGAATAAAATGTTTATGGTTTTAAGCCAATAGGTTTGTGGCTGTTTGGAACGGCGGCCCCGGGACGGTAACGTGCCAACCAAGGCCAAGGCCGCTCCCTCAGACGGACTGTCTGTCCTGGGTGTATCTTCCTGTCTTGGGTCATCGGGGCATCTTTCAAAGTCTGAGACCAGGGCTAGTGAACTTCTTTTGTAAAGGGCCAGACGGTACATATTTTAGGCTGTTCTGCCGTTGTGGCCTGAAAACAGCCACAGACAGATGATCTGGGAACAAACGGTGTGGTGGGCCCCACGAGGACTTAAAATGGGCTGGATTCGGCCCCAGGGCCGCCAACGTGCTGGTCTAGACGGATTACTCTTTCACCCGGAAAGGCTGCTTCTCTTTAGGACAACAACCGATCAGAATTCCCTCCAAGAACATCTCTTAACTACGTAATCCATTATCCTCCAGGCGGCCCGTGGTAGAATAAGAACTAGAGCAGTCTTTGTCCCCAGTTCCTGGCAAGTAGCTCCAAAACACTCGGAATTTCCGGAGTGGCAGGAGTGCCTTCTGTTATGCAAAACAGCCCCCTTTCAATCACACCTGTTTTATGCTAATAACGCCACCAGGGCAGGGTTCCAGCCTCAGGATAGGGCTGGCGGGGTTGCTAGGTTAGAACTCAGGAGGGAGACGGTCTGGCGCTGGCACTGTGGTTGGACACATCCATGTGCCAGGGGGGTGAGGCACCCCAAATGCACGGGGACAGTGGCTCCTGCACCGGGGACCTTCTGGACCTCGCTCTATGTACCTCTTCACGGGGCTGTAGCGCCTTCCTGAGTTCTGTGAGCCGTTCCAGCAAGTTATCAACTCTAAAGAAAGGAACCCCCCCCACCTTTATACCTGGCCTGGGTCAGAAGGATGGGTGGCCCGGGTCCTGAAGCTGTGGGGGTTGGGCTAACTCCAGGTAGTCCCAGAGCGGAACTGAGTCACAAGACACCCAGCTGGGGATGGAGAGGTGGCTGGTATCAGAAAACACCCCCATAGCCACTGTCTGCCCAAATGTGGTTAAAAACCAGAATTTCATAATGTATAGCACAGTAAGTATAACCAATAATATTGTAATCACTTCGTGTGGTGACAGATGGTAGGGAACTAGACCCACTGTGGGGATCATTTCATAACGTAGAAATCCAGCGAATCACTGTCTTCTATACTGAAACTGATCTAATGATGTCAATTACCATTCGATTAAAAAAACACAACAATTTACAGGAAGACACTGATTTACATAAAGCACAAACAGGATATCGCCTGGTGAGGAAATAATGTTTTGAAAAAAAATTCGTCCCATCGCCTAAGTTTACCCAAGTTCAAATAAGGTCAGCCAGTGCCTGCGAGCTAAGCCTCCCCTCGGTCATATGCGGTCATATGCTTACAAACAGCCCCAAGCTGCAGGACATACACAGTCACTTACTTTATCCTCAACAACCTCAGGGAAGGGGGATGGGCAGTGTCATTACCTCCAGTTTTCAGAGGGAAATGGAGCACCAGAAATGAAGTCCCTTGCGCATGGTCGCAGGGGACTTAGGTAGGACTTGACCCCACAACATACATTTAATCAGAATGCAGGAAGGGACCCAAAAGCTGCCTCAGCGTGAAAGGGAGATCAGCCGAGGCCGACACTCAACAGAAGTTCCCTTTCTGTCTTCCCTGATCTCCAGGATGAGATCTCATGGTTAAGCATCCGACTTTGGCTCAGGTCATGATCTCACGGGTTCGTGAGGTCGAGCCCCACGCCAGACTCCACACCCTCTCTCCGTCTCTTTCTGCTCCTCGCTCACTTGCGCTCTCTCGCAAAAACAAGAAATTTTTAAAAACTAAAAAAGATAAAGATGAGTTATAATACAAATGTCCAAGGCCAATGAACTTCTATTTGGCCTTTTCTGTCCAGAACTGAAGACGTCGGCCATCAGCGCAGTCTTGTAGGCAGGACGGGGAATCAGGTGCAGCAGGCTGGTTTGGTCGCCCGTCGACTGCTCTGCACATGTGTCCCCAGTGAAGCTAATTACGCCCTCTGGGGCGCTGAGCCTCTCTTCGAAATTAGGAAGAGAAGCATCCTTCCTCTTTGAGCTAAGCCACAATGAGAAACAAGGCAGTCGCGCGAGAGCCAGGGCTCCTGAGAAAGAAACGCACAAACATGTTTCCTTTGAGGCAGAAAACAGAGCCTCTGTGGTTGTCTGGGGGACACTCAGGCCAGGAGCACGGAGGTGGCCTTTAGCTCTTTGGGAAGAAGAAAAAAGCAACCACCACAAAACTGTGTTTCCTCAAATTTCTCCCCGAAGAAAAACCCTTTCAATACAATGCCTGGGTGCCACCTTCCCAGTGTAGCCAGTGGGGAGAAGACTTGGGGTCCTAAAAGGACAGGAAGTTCTGAGGAGACGACTATAAAAGTATTTTAACGTGCAGACTGTTTAAAGCTTCTCTTAGAGTCAGATAAACATGATTAATTTCGGTCATGAAACTCAAGAAGAAAATTCCTGGGGCGCCTGGGGGGCTCAGTTGGTTGAGCGTCCCGTGTTGGCTCAGGTCATGACCTCACGGTTCGTGGGTTCGAGCCCCCGCGTCAGGCTCTGCGCTGACAGCTCAGAGCCTGGAGCCTGCTTAGGATTCTCTGTCTCCCTCTCTGTCTGCCCCTCTCCCGACCCTTCATGCTCTCTCTCTCTCTCTCAAAATAAATAAATGTTAAAAAAAAAAAAGAAAAGGAAAGGAAAAGAAATTTCTAAGGGCATCTCCCAGCCCAGACGCAGGGAGCTGCTGTGTTTGCCCGGGAGGAGTGTGAGCAGGGGAGCAAGATGTGGCGGATGGGACAGCAGCTTACAGGTGTGATGTGCTGCCGAGCGGCAGTCCCCACTGGGGACGATTTCTTAGGGGGAGGGTGTGCGGAGGGCAGGGACGCCCAGGACTGGCCCCGGCCACAGACCAGCGTGCGTGCGGTTGAGAAATCCCGAGGGAGAGGTACAGCGGCGGAGGGGGTGGCGTGCAGAGCCTGGGGCCGGGTGGGCTCGGACTTACCCCAGCAGGCACAGGCTCCCGCACGAGAGCCAGGTGAGGGCACCAGCGTTATAGGACAGCTGAGTCACGATCATCTTGCTGCAGGAAGGACAGCACATCTGGACGGGACGGTCGAAAAAGGAGACTGGCTGCTGCACGTAGACGGTCTGCACAGCGACTGCGGAACAGGAGCAGGTGGCCGGTGAACGGGGGAGAGGCGGCCAGTGACGAGGGGGCGGCCAGGGAATGGGGGGAGCAGTCCTGAGGCAACCGGGAGGTGGGGTCAGGGGCTCGGAGGTCCATGTTCACAGCAGCACCACTCACGAGAGCCACCCACGTGTCCCCAGTGAGCAACCAGGAAGGGACCTGTCCCTATGTGTGGAGTCCCATTCAGCCTTAGGACATTCTGGGGCGCCTGGGGGGCTCAGGCGATTTAGCGTCCGGACTCTTGGTTTCGGTTCAGGTCACGATCTCACTGTTTTGTGAGTTTGAGCCTCACATCAGGCTCCATGGCTGAAAGTGCAGAGCCTGCGTGGGATTCTCTCTCTCTCTCTGCCTCTCTCTGCCTCACATTGTCTCTCTCTCAAAAATAAATAATTTTTTTTTTAAACTTAGGGGAAGAAAGGACATTCTGATTCACATTACAACATGGATGAACTTGTAAGGACCTTACGCGGAGTGAAATAAATCAGCCACAGGACAAATACTGCGTGATTTCTCTTAGATGACACACCTAGAATCCTCCCCGACACAGTGGGTGGCAGTGGGCACCGGGGGCTGGGGCGGGGATGGGGGGCGGGAACGAGGAGCTGCTGTTTAGCCAGTTTAGAGTTTGTTTTTTTAAGATTTCAAAGTTCTCGAAAGGTGGTGGGGACGCCGTGTGAGAAGGTGAACGTGCTTAACGCCACTCAAGTTTACGACGATAAAGGTTCCTGGCGTGTTTTACAACACGTGGCAGGCTTCCAGCATCATCATGTGAGGGGCTCTTGACCCCCTCCCCCGAGCCCCCCCATGGAGATGAGGAGAAATTCCTGCAGCGGGGGACGTGGCTCAGCCCCGACCAAGCTTTCAAACTCGGCTCCCCACGGAAATGGGGGAGGGGGTGCGAGCTTGCTGCCAATGCAGGTCCCCCCCACCCCCCTCCCAGACAGCCTGATTCAGCAAAACGGGGGCAGGGTCCCCACAAAGCTCTTTAAGCTCCCTAAGTAGTTCTGTGAAGGTGGTCTGCAGACGGTTAACTCCAGAAACAGTGACAGGATGGGGTTTAGCCTCAATTTTCCTCATCCACGGATCAGTGGCTGCCAGGGGCTGGGGGACCAGGAGGGACGGCTAATGGGTGTGGGGTTTCTTTCGGGGGTGACGGAAATGTTCTGGAATGAGTGCGGAGGGCGGCACGAGTCTGCGACTTTGCCGAAACCCCTGAGTTACCGACACTTTAAAAAGTGAGCTTCATGGTAGGAAACCGTATCTCAGGAACGCTTTTATTTTAAAGAATGGGAGTCAGAGTTGTCGCCAGGGTTACGGGAGATAAGGGGGGAACCTCGCACGGTGTTGTGGACACAGTGAACCCTCGATAAACACGGGGCTCCTGACGAAGTCCAAGGCCCAGCGATAAGGCTGGAGCTTATGGAGCCCGGGAAGGCCGGCCCAGGCTTAGCGACTGGCCTGGGGACTGGGGCGGACACGTGAAGCGAGTATGTAAGATCGTGCTAGAAAGGGAAAACATGTCCAGGCGCTCACGGTCGCCAGGGGCGAGCCTCGAGTGATGTAAACCGTGGGGTCCTGAGCACTCAAAATGCTTCTGGTTTTTGGCAAAGTCGTCGAAGCTTGTCAGAGCGACTTCCTTCTGTCTCCCCTGGGCCACCATTTCTGTGACCTACGCATGTGGGGAAATTAACTGTCGTCCAAGCTCACAGAACTTAATACTCCTAGAAAGTCCTAGGAAGACTCCCCTTCCAGAAAAGGAGTATTTGAGCATGTTAACGTTCACATGTAAATTGAATTAAAATCTTTTTTTTTTTAATTTGGTGCAAGAATAAATTATCGATCAGAGCATGATCTGAAATTACCTAACATCACCTGGTTCTCTTCCGGCTGGAGGGGTCAAAGTTGCTCGGGCACGTTGACACTAGCTCACCTTTATCAAACGATTACTCAGAGAATTGTATTTTATCTTAACAACCCGCTGATAAAGGCACTTGATGAGCCCCGTTTTACAGGTGGGGAAACTGAGGCCCGGGGCCATCAGGTGAAGCCAAGCCCTTTCTTTGAGCTGGCGGTCTCCTCCTGAGCAGCTTGTGATACTGAATGAGCAGGGCATCTGGACACCAGGAAGTCCCAGAGGGCAAGGCCATGAAGAAATTGCTGGAAGGCAGGGAAGCCAGGCGGGCAGGCGGGACAGAGTCAGTCCCTGGGTTCCTAACTCCTGGCTGTTTCTGCTCCCTCTCCTCCTGCAGCCCCGGCCTCGAGGCAGAGGTTTGAGCCTTAGCGGGAAGGGAGGGGGCCCTGGAAAGCAACCCCCCACATTTCCCGCTTTCCCTGAGGTGACTGGTGTACCTCTGTGGTCAGCGCCAAAGGTTCGGCTTGTGGCGGACGCGGGCAAGTTCATTAACTGTACTTTGTTAGGGGAAAGAGTGAGCCTTGCAGGGGTGGAACCCGGAAGACTGGCCGGAAAATTCCAGGACAGGGGGTAAAGGCGGACTGGCTGGCATTTCGTGAAGACTCTCAGGCAGAATCACTTTGGGGGCTTCCCCGGTCCCTGCAAAGCCCCCAAAGCCAGGCCGGAGGGCTGAGGGGAGGGGTGGGGACACGGGGGGGGGGGCAGCGCGTACTTGCGTTGGCGTTGGGGACGGGCCCAGGCTGGGTGTAGTACGCAGGGGGATTCATGCCCTTCCCGTCTAGGCCCGCCACCAGCCCTGTGGTCGGCCCTGGTGCGGGTGCAGGAGGCACGGGGAAGTAACTGTTGACCGCCACCGTCTCTTCATAGGATGGGGGTGCCGACGGCACCGAGGGCCCAGCGGCCTCCTGATAGGATCCGGGGACAGACATTTTACCTAAAGCAAAACAGAGGACACCGGATCAGAAATGTGAGCGACACCTCTTTCTCACTCCCTCTTTCTCCTCTTTCTTAAATGTTTTCTTTTTGAGAAAGGGAGAGACACAGAGCAGAGGAAGGGCAGAGAGAGAGGCAGACACAGTATCTGAAGCAGGCTACAGGCTCCGAGCTGTTAGCACGGAGCCCGACGTGGGGCTCGAACTCACAAACAGCAAGATCATGGCCTGAGCCACCCAGGTGCCCTGTTACAGTTTTTTAAAAGTAAACACACACACCCCAGCTCCCGTTTTGAGAAGGCGGTGATCAGAGCGGCCATGCACACAGTTCCTTTCGTGAGGGCAAAGAAACGGTGCGCCCCACCCCCCAGCAGAGCTGATGCCCGCCTAGAATGACGTGGCCTGTGCCCAGAGAGCATTCCTGTCTGAAGCCCGTGCTCAGCAGCCCCGGGGCAGCTGGAGAAGGACACAGTGCAGCCCTTTGTGTCGCTCTGTTTTTCTAAAGGGGCAGGGCTAAGGCAGCCTTAGAAGGTCCATTCAAACCTGGCTCAGGAGACCCAGGGAAAGGAGCCCTGGAAGGCGGGGCGCACCAAATCCTCCCCCGCCCCCCCCCCCCCAAGCTGCTTCGTCTTCTAGAACCCGTGGGAAGCGGAGACAGCAATGCACTCTGCTGCGGAGAGAAGGGGAGGCTCCTTTGAGGAAGCTCTCTCTGCCTTTGAGCTGAGACCAAAAGCCGAGATTTCTCTGGGAGGGGGAAGAGAGGGGAGGAGGTTCCAAACAAGAAAGAGAGGCAAGGGAAAGTGAGTCTGTGTAAAGCAAAGTCAGTGAATAAAGCTAGACAGGTTGGGGCCAGGTGGCTGAAAATGTGAAAGTCCCGTGGAGGGGTTGGGGCTTTATTGTGGATGTCTGCCCGATGGAACCTTCTGGAAGAATGGAAGTGTTCTCCATCTGGGTTGTCCAATATGGCTGTCCAGCCACCTGCCCCACACTCCCCCCCCCCAACACACACACAGTGGCTGGACCCTCGGAATGTGGCCGGTGTGACCCAGGAAGTGAAGTTTTACACTGTATTTCAAGGGTAACTGATTTAAATTTAAAATCTAATAGGCAGGGCGCCTGGGTGGCTCAGGCAGGCAGGCATCCAGTTCTGGATTTCAGCTCAGGTCACACCCTCACAGGTCATGGGTTCGAGCGTCTCAAAGTGACAGTGTAGAAAGTGCTTGGGGTTTTCTCTCTCTCTCTCTCTCTCTGCCCATCCCACGCATGCTCTCTCTCTCAAAATAAATAAAGAAACTTAAGAAAAAAAAATCTAATACACAATGCAATGATCGGAAAACTTATGGAAGCTTTCCCACCTTTCCAAAGGACACCTCGGCTATGTGAATCTGCTTTTCCTACAGCAAATTGAAGGAGCTCTGACTCTAGATCAAACGTTTCTGACAAAACATTAGCATCCAACTGAGGATATGTTGTCAACATAAAATACACCCTGGATTTCAAAAAGTTTTTAAATATTAACGTGAAAAATGTCATTCATAATTTTTTATATCGACTGTATGTTGAGATGACAGTTTCGGGCAGGTGGAGTTAGTGAAATGTGTTCCTGTGATCCATTCCACATGTGTGTCTGCACTTTTTAAAATGCAGCTACTCAGAACTGTTCAACTATCTACTCACTGTGGCTCACTGTCTGCTTCTCCAGACGCCAGTGCTATGGAACAGGGGAGCCATGGAAGGTTATAGAGAAGAGGAATGGTCCAACCCTAGAAAGTGCAGGTGAAGCCGGTCTGTAACAGACACTACAAGCAAACCGGGGGAGGCCCCTCCCATGGAGGCCCCTCCCGTGGAGGCCCCTACGGTGGAGGGGATGGCGGGTGGCAGTTACATTCAAGTCTGCGGGGGACAGCTAGCCTGGGCGTCTCTGAAAATGGGTCCAGGGTTTAAAACTGGGAACCTGGCGAAAAGCGGTCACGGCATGTTGTCCGTTGCCTCTGACACAGGGGAACAGAAAAGCAGAAGGAGGAAGAGACAGAGACCACAGACACCAGCCCCAGGACCGCCCAGCAGCTGCTCCGGGCCCGAGCACGGGCGCGTGGGGACTCGGGCTGGGGGCGCGCTCTGGAGGAATTCCCGACCTCGCCGAGCGTCAGGGACTCGCGGTCCCTTCCTGTCTCAGGAAAGGCAGACCCCGAGCTGCCTACACAACTTATTATAAAAACTGAGTCATAGAAGAAAACCACATGATCCGAAAACGCGGGGTGTGCAGAAAGCCTAAAATAGCACCGGGCGCTCCGGCTGCTGGGGGAGCTGCTCTGGGAGGGAAAAATACGGTCTCGGGGGGGCCCTGAACTGTGCAGAAAAGGTTTGGGTCAAACCGTCGGGAAACAATGACTCAACGCGGAAGCGCAAATTCCTCCACTTCAAAACCACTGCCCCTTCCTCCCAAAGTGACAAAAGGCAGCCAGAAACCTTGTGGTCAAGGGTGAGCGCGGAGGGGGTGGGGGTGGGGGGGCTTCTTTCGTCTAAAGTTAGGAAGGGCCTGCGCTTCTGGAAATCAAGGCCGGGCGGCTTAATTGTCCAGGCATCGAGGGTCTGGTGGCCACAGCCTAGTTTCTGAACTTCAGGACCACGCCTCTTGGGAACGCCGACTTGGTATCAAAAAGCCGCACAATAAACACTTACGATTCTGAACAGGAACAAAAGCAATAGGCTAGAATAGTAAAAAAACAAAAAACAAAAAACAAAACCCCATAACCAACCAGCTGGTTTGAAGGCTTTCTACATAAATTCCACAGCCTTGCTTCCCCAGGCCCCAGGCCAGGAAATGCCATTTCAGTTCCAGTTCTTTTTCTTCCCACATCCCCCCATTTCTTTTTAATTTGGTTCCCCCCCACCCTCGGGTGGGGGAGGGGGTGGGGGGCAGCAGGCTCACCTGGCGGCCCAACCAGCCACCCCTCCAGAAAGATCTGCTCAACCTGCCTCCTGGTCCCCACCCCACCCTCACCGGGCTCTCACTCCAACACACACGTGTACACACACACACACACACACACATACACACAGACCACACACAGAAAACGATGTACAGAGACACGCGCACATAGAGACAGATGGACTCCCATACACACAGACTCACACATACACGCTGCACTGTCGCCAGGGAACCCTTCGGCCCCCCAAAGGTACTAGCAGTGACATCTGTCCGGTGCTCCCTTCTCTGCCACCCACAGGAAGGCATCTGTGAGTTTCACAGAACAGCAAAGCCACAGTTCGGCCACATAAAAGCACAGCCTTGAGAACCCTTTGGCGACCCTGGGCGGCCAGGGAGGCCTCCGTGGATCCCGGGTTGCCATAGTTACAGGGAGCCGTGGGTGGGGGGTGGGGATAAAGGAGCAGACGAGGGGGTCTCCTTCCTCCCTCCCCACTTGTGTAACTTTGTTATTAGGCCCCTGAGAGTGGCTTTTCTCAGCTGCCCGTTGAAAAGAACATGCTGAAGGCGATTCTCCACCCACCTTCCATCACCTTCCACGCATCCTCACAGAGCTCCAGGAAATACTCAGGCCTGGGGAGCTCCGTTTTCCCATCTCAGATTGGCTCCGTTGTTAGCAACTTCTAAACCCACACAGGCATTCCAAGCCCAATGTCACCCCTGGGGACCCGCGCTCAGCCCACCGCTCTGCTGTCACCATCTAGAAATTCTGATGACTTTGGGAACAGGGGACCTCGTGTTTCCATACCGCACTGGGGCCCAGGGGCCCAGGGTCATGCGGCCCAGTGTGGCCACGGGTCACAGAAGAGGAAAAGGAGGCATGTCTGGTGCATGGAGATGCATTTCTAACACAAGAAGGCCTGGACCTGAACCTGGAAACTGACCCGTGACCGGCACCATCCCGGCCCCCGCTTTTTCACCTGCAAGTGTGCCACTTGGGATCTTGGGGTCCCTGGCTGAAAATCCCCCTTGTTCCGAGTCTCAACGGATTTCTTCAATGAGAGATTCTCTCTTAAAGGGGCCCGGAGGGGCATACGGATATTTATTCCTGGGCTTACAGAATGAGTCTGGGAGTAGCTATTTCACCGAACCCTGGTTTAGAACAAGATTTCTCAATCTTGTTTTCATTATAGCTGCCTCCCCCCACCCTTGCCCCCAAGGAGAAAAATTAAATTATATTAAATTTAATTAATGAATTTACATATAATTTAATTTCTACCTAACAAGAGAAATTAAATACTAAGAAATAAGATTTCGTTGGACAGGATTGAGTTGTGGAGGGCCACACGGCTCCGTATTATCTAAGACATTTCTGTTTAACCTCTCCCCCAATTTTCGCTCCCCTAAGTCCCCAGTGAGAATGGGGGAGAGAGGTGGGGAATGAGGCATTTGGGGCCCAATGCGTTTTTCCAAATTGCTGACATTTATTCATTCAGTGTCATGAACGCGTGAATTTTAACCCTGTACTGACTGAGTCCTGGGGCCCCTTACATCCATGTATTCGTTTCCAGGTACGTCCAGCCTCCCTTGGTTTAATCTACGAGTCACAACCAGGGGAGGTGGGTGGGGTGAGAGGGTGACCAGCCCAGGGAGCACACTCCCCTCTGCCTACGGGGCCAAGCAGGATTGGGCTGGTGTCCACTCCCTCCTGCACCAGAGTCTTGAACCTGCGGGACTCTCACCCAGCAAGGAAGTGAAGGGTGCTAAGGGCACCCGATATCCAGCCTGTTGAAACCTTCTTTGGGAATCTCTGAACCCAGAGGTCCTGGCCTGAGCAAAACCTGCCATCTGTCAACTACCCCCACCCTGACCGCAGAATCACATTAAGACGTGAATTCGCATTCACTCCAGAGCTGCATTAAGACGAACCATAACGGGGGGCGCCTGGGTGGCTCAGTCGGTTAAGCGTCCGACTTCAGCTCAGGTCATGATCTCACGGTTCGTGGGTTCGAGCCCTGCATCAGGCTCTGTGCGGCCAGCCAGCTCAGAGCCTGGAGCCTGCTTCAGATTCTG